ACATCTAAATTATATAAAAATTGATTTTTCAGTTTCACTAATCAACGTCGCCGCGAAAATTTCTTCTTCTTTGGGCACTTTAAAAATTCATTTATTTAGAAAATAATATTTACAGTTACCAGTGTACAGATATTAACTAAATTAAGTATTTCTAGTCATAAAAATATTTATAATTGAGTATAAACTTTTAAAAAACTAATATATATTTGAACGAAGTCGCTCCAACACCGACGTGCGGTCCACCCTCGACGATGTCCGAAAACGGACCATAGATAAATATACATGTAGCAAGCTAAAACGGACTGTGACAGAGCTTACATGGCGACGGAGCATGCGCGCTCGCGTAAATATATTCAATTTCAGGTAAAAATTATATATTCTCTTATAAAACGGGGAATAAAAATAAAACTCTCAATTAAAAATATTAATATTTTTAAGACCTTTTTTTTAGTGTAAGAACTATTTAAAAAGCTTGTGCCGTTTTGGAGAAATTTTGCAAAATATGACAAAGATAGGTACTCTTTGGGGATTTTTTTTCTAATAAGGGGTTAACAAAAATACAATTTTGTTAAATTAAAAACATTTAAATTTAAAATCTTCTTCTGTTACCGTGTATTTTTTCTTTGTGGATTAAATGAACAGTTATTGAGATTTTTTTACTTAAATATCCTAGATTTAGGCATTTCAACCACTGTTAAGGCCTTAAACGCGAAATGATTTCTTATATTTACGCGAACACTACACATTGAATAAAAATACTTTTATTTTATTTCTATTGTGGAAGGAAGAGTTTTACAAGCAAGTAGATGGCGTTGCGATGGGCTCACCGGTATCTCCCGATATTTTCATGGAGGACTTTGAGGAGAAAGCCCTGCTTACTGCATCAGTAACTCCAAGGTTCTACAAGCGGTACGTAGACGATACTTTCACAATTTTACCATCAGACAAAGTAACTGCATTCTTAGAACATCTTAATTCCATAAAATCTAAAATTCAATTTACTACGGAGTTAGAGGCAAATAATTCTTTAGCTTTCCTAGATGTGTTAGTCATTCGAAATTCTAATAACACGATAGGTCACACTGTGTATAGAAAAAAAACCCATACAAACCGGTATTTAAACGGTGAATCCCACCATCATCATTCACAGTTAACTACCGTGGGCAAATCTTTGTTACAGAGAGCACGAGGTGTCTGTGACAGCAAACACCTGGCCGCCGAGCTTCAGCACGTCAAGTAGGTTCTGCACGACAACAAGCTTCGGGTCCCGCGCCTACGTCACAGTGACCGAGTGAAGCCGGCCATAGTCGAGCGTGTGCCTGCTGTACTACCATATGTCAGAGGTGTCACAGACAAGATCGGCTACGCTGGCTGGCTATAAGAACATTCTACAAGCCGCCGAAGAAGATTAGTCAGTTCTTACCATCCGTCAAGTGCAATATTCCTCTACAAGATGCAGGAGTGCACAAGCTTGATTGTGAATGTGGTCTGTCATATATAGGGCAAACAAAACGATCAATAAAAACCCGCGTAAAAGAACGCATAGCTGACGTGAAGCACCAATGTTCCGGGAAGTCTGCAGTTTGTGATCATATCCTAGACGGCCCCCGCTATTACATTAGATTTGATAAACCACACATTCTCGCGAAAGAACATCAATTCCTACCAAGGATGATACGTGAGGTTATTGAAATTAAAAAACATCCTAATTTCAATAGAGAGGGAGGCCGGGTACTACCACCTGCTTGGGATCCTGTAATTAATAAAATTAAAACTAAACCCAAGCATACCACTGCAAGACTTCAAGACACAGTAAGTTCATTCTGCGTAGATCGGACCAAAATTAAAATTAAAAAAGCTGTAGGTACTCCGGGTTAACTTTGACATCGGGACGTCAATCACCTCAGTCCCGCGTGACCACGGGTGCTGTAAAGCACCCGAAACGTCGGAAATTAATAAAAATAAGATAAATAACTTAATTAAACACGAAAAAATCCGTAAAAGTAGCTTTAAACGCGAATTTAAGTTTTTCCAGTTTACCACGTACCTATAGCTTTGACAATTCCACTGAATAATATTGTTGCGCGCCACTATTAATGTCTTGTACATGGCAACACTAGTTACACTAGCGCCCTCTAGTGTCGAGTAGCAGAACTAGGAGAATCGAGATCCTTCCAGAAATTTCGACCGATATATACTCGAACATTCTAGATGTCGCTACAATAGAAGGTTCTGGAAACTATGTGAGGCCCTATATAAGGTCAGTATAGACCACGACCGGGGCAGTATTGAATTGGCGATACAAGAGAATACTTCGAAGCGAAATAACGGCGAACTGTTTTTTATTATTAGTGTGATTTTAGATTGTAATTAGTGTTGTGTAATTAAAGTGTCAATTTTGGTAATTCAATCGGCAGTTTTTTAATTGTCTCGAACCCCAAACTCGTAACAATTGGTGTCAGAAGTGGGATCAAATATGCCGATTTTACCTAAAGACGACACGGAGGGTATCCGTACCCGAAGTCAACGCCAACAGGAGACGGACCAGAGACGATTTGGTAATGCAACGCCGCAAACGTCGGAGGGGCAGCTGCTAACCACGGAGGCCGACCCGTCAGCAGCTCCTGCATCTGCAGCACCTGACTTAGGTGCTCTGATGATGATGCTGCAGGATCAGGCTCGCCGACAGGAGGAACAGGCTCGCCGACAGGAGGAACAGGCTCGCCGACAGGTGGAACAGGCCCGCCGACAGGAGGAACAGACCCGTCGGTTGGAAGAGCAGCTGCAGCGCGGTATGGAAGAACAGATGCTCCTCAGGAAGGACTTTCACGCTACCTTCGGGAAAGAGATAAAGGAGGTGAAGGATAGGGTTGCTCCACATGACAACCGCCTGTCGGAAGCGGAAACCCGAATCGACCAAGTGAACAATCGGGTTGACAACGTGATGGCTGATATGAAGAAAACGCTGGACGACCTCAAACTTGCGGATGGAATTACAGCTCCCGTGGTAGCTACAACACCTTCGCTACGTGGATTCAAAGTGCCGCCGTTCGACGGGAGTTTTCCTGGTCGGCCTACAAAATCCAGTTCGAGGCTGTCATGAAAGCGAACGGCTGGAATAAAAGTCAGGCCATGACTGCTCTCACCCTAGGCCTACGCGACCAGGCCTTAACTGTTCTGGAAGCTCTCGGTAAGGAAGTGACTTACGAGCAGCTCCTTGAGGCATTGGAGGTGAGATATGGCGACGCTCACCTGGAACACGTCTTTCGTGCGCAGCTCAAAGATCGCGTGCAACGCAGTAACGAAAACCTGCAGCAGTGGGCCCTTGAGGTGGAGAAGCTGGTTCGAAAAGCGTACCAGTCTGTACCTGCGCTCATTGTAGGGAACCTGGTGCAGACATTCATCGACGGCATCCGCGACCTTGAAGTCAGAGCTGCTGTGAGGCTCGGGCACCACGAGACACTTAAGGACGCCTTGACCCATGCACTGGAGGTGGAAGCTGTGCGGCAGGATCATCGTTCCCACCGCCTCAGGGAGGTTGCAGCAGCTACAGTTCAGGACCGCAATAAGGGCTACAGCCCTAGATGCTACGGCTGTGGGGAAAGGGGCCATCTTCGATCGAGCTGCCCTAAACGAACTGTAGAAAGGGAAGGTGATCGATCTCGAGAGGGTAGTGTGGATAATAGCACCGCCCAGCAGCAGCAGGGAAACGAGTAAAAGCCAGGACTGCGGGGCGGGTGCTGGCTGACGTTAAAAGAGCCCCAAGGATTTCGATCTCACAAACCCATGATGGGAACAGCCTAATCATCAAGGGCGAAGTCAACGGAACGCCGTGTAAACTGACCATAGACACTGGAGCCTCTCGCACGGTTGTCAGTTCCCAACTTATAAGTCGGTTCCTTGGGGACTCCGCATACAACCGAGAACGCATTAATTTGGTGACAGCCACCGGGCAGCGCATACCCGTCCGTGGAGAGAAGGAGATGGAGTTGAACCTAGGCAACATGATCTACCTGCATAATGTCATCGTGGCTGATATAATGGACGACTGCATCCTGGACCTAGACTTTATGAGGAAGAATTGTTGTGAGATCGACGTTAAGCAAGGTGTTTTGAAATGTGGACAAGAGGAACTTTTCGTGGAAGGGGCGTTACCAGGGAATGTGTACAGCCTTAAGAAGATTGTCCTTCCGCCGAGATCGGAAACGATTGTGCCGGTTAGTCTTCCTCGGAGTCCTGGGCAAGCTCATCGTTGTGTACTCGTGGAAAGGGTAGACAATGACCTTCCATGGAAAGTGGCTCGAACCTTGGTCAGAACCACCGACATCTCAGGAGTACGTGTGTTGAACCTTTGTGATCAGGAACAGATTATAGAAAAAGGCACATTGGTTGGTACTAGTGAGGAAGTGGATTGGTTGCGTCGGTGCGAATATCTATCGACCGGGACCCCCAGCAAGGATGGACAAACGAGAGTGACCACACTTTTAGAAGACTGTCGCAGCGTTCTTTCCCCGAATGAAATGGTCAAGGCGAAGAAGTTGTTACTCAAGTACGCCAATGTTTTCTCGTCAAACGAAGCTGACATAGGAAAGACTGGCTTAGTTCAACACAAAATAAACACAGGACAAGAATTACCTATTCGTCAGCGGCCAAGAAGATTGCCTGTAGCACGTGAAAAGGAAGTGGAAACCATGATTGAGGGCATGGTGAAGGATGGTGTTATTGAACCTTCATCTAGTCCGTGGTGTTCACCTGTGGTGCTGGTAAAGAAGAAGGACGGCAGCATGCGGTTTTGTGTTGACTACCGCCGCCTGAACGACGTTACAAAGAAGGACAGCTATACCTTGCCAAGAATTGATGACACGCTGGACATGTTTACAGGCGTAAAGTGGTTTAGTACGCTGGATCTGAAAAGTGGCTACTGACAGGTTGAAATTGACCCTAAGGACAAGGAGAAAACTGCATTCTCCACAGGAAAGGGCCTGTGGCAATTTAAAGTCATGCCGTTTGGATTGTGCAATGCTCCAGCAACGTTTGAAAGGTTGATGGAGCTTGTACTAACCGGGCTAATTGGAGATGCCTGTCTCGTCTATTTGGATGACATCATCATCGTAGGCCGTACGTTTGAGGAACACCTTCAAAACCTGGAACGCGTGCTCATGAAGATCCAGAGTGCCAACCTCAAGTTGAGTTCAAAGAAGTGCTCACTGTTCCAACGGCAAGTTAGTTTTTTGGGGTATGTAGTGTCGGAAGAAGGTATCCGCACAGATCCCGAGAAAAATGCTGCTGTCAAGGAGTGGCCGGTCCCAAAAGACATGACACAGGTTAGAGCATTTTTGGGTTTGTGCTCTTATTATCGGCGATTTGTGAAGAACTTTGCAGATATAGCCAAACCTCTGCACAAGCTAACCGAGGAGAAGCGATAATTCTGCTGGGATGAAAGTTGCGATATTGCATTCCAGGAGCTCAAGAACTGTCTGTGCAAAACACCTATTTTGGGGTACCCTGATGCGGGCAAGGAATTCATAGTTGACACAGACGCAAGTGATATAGGACTTGGCGGTGTGTTGTCTCAACGGAATGGTGATCAAGATATTGTGATAGCGTACTTTAGCAAGTCGTTGTCAAAGCCGGAAAGAAACTATTGTGTCACAAGACGGGAATTGCTTGCTGTGTTAAAGTCCTTGCAGCATTTTAGCAAATACCTTCTAGGGCGGAAATTCCACTTACGAACTGACCATGCTGCACTGAAATGGCTATTGCAGTTCAAAAATCCGGAAGGACAAGTTGCGAGATGGATTGAACTACTGCAGGAATACGACTTTGTGATCGAACATCGCAGCGGGAAATCTCATGGCAATGAAGATGCATTGTCAAGAAGACCTTGCCCTGAAGATTGCAAGCATTGTACTAGGCAAGAGGGTAAGGAAGTGGTATCTGTGAGAATGCTCAGGACAGACCAGCTCAGCAATGAATGGAAGGACAGCCTACAACATGCACAGCAGGAAGATTCGGATATTAAGCCGATTCTGGAATGGATGAAGGCCAATGCTCCTAAGCCCAAGTGGAGCGACGTCTCAGCAATGAGTTCGACCACAAAAAGCTATTGGGCCCAATGGGACAGCTTGCTGATTCAGGATGGAGTCCTGTGCCGTAAATGGGAAAATGGTTGGGGAGACAGGTGTCATTTGCAAATGCTTGTCCCTAAGGCTAAAGTGCCGGATATTCTACAGCTGTACCATAGTGGTTGTTCAGGATCTTCAGGTGGCCTACCTGGGAGTTAAACGAACTCTCCTGAAGATCCGAGAACGGTTTTACTGGGTCCACTGTCGTGACGATATCGAGGACTGGTGCCGCAAATGTACAAGTTGTGCGGCTGTAAAGGGACCTCAAATTCATAGTAGAGGCGCATTGAAATTGTACAATGTTGGTGCACCATGGGAGAGGATAGCCATTGACGTTGCGGGGCCGTTTCCAGAAACTGAAAGTGGTAACAAGTATTTCATGGTTGTGATGGATTACTTCACTAAGTGGCCAGAAGTCTTCTCCATTCCAAATCAAGAAGCTTCAACAGTTGCAGATAAACTAGTTCATGAAGTCTTCTGTCGTTTTGGAGTACCTTTAGAGATTCACAGCGATCAAGGACGGAATTTTGAGTCTCAAATATTCCAGGAAACTTGCCGAGTTATGGGTACTCAGAAAACACGAACAACTTCTTACCACCCACAATCTGATGGAATGGTAGAAAGATTTAATCAGACATTGGAGACGTACCTAGCAAAAGTTGTGGAAAAACGGCAACGAGACTGGGACAGACACATACAACCATTTTTGTTGTCATATCGAAGCGCTGTTCACGAAAGTACATCAGTGACACCAGCTTTCGTAAACTTTGGGAGAGAATTGCGGCTGCCTGCAGACCTTATCACCGGAATACCACCTGATGCCCCACGCAGTATAACCGATTATGCAAATGACTTGCGGAACAAAATGAATGACATTTATGAGCACGTCAGACAGACGGGCCAGCAAACGTCTGAGAAGATGAAAACACGGTATGACCGCAAAATGAACAACAAGGGGTTTGATGAAGGTTCACTAGTGTGGTTCAGTTCGCAGCAAAGGGAAATCTCCTAAGCTTCAAGCTAAATGTGACGGACCGTGCCGGATTGTGACAAGGATCAATGATGTAACCTACCGGATACAGAAAGGTGCCAGAGGTACTCCTAAGATTGTCCATGTGGATCGACTGGCGCGTTATTATGGGGCCAATAATGCTCGGGACGAGCATGTCTTAGGAGGGGGCAGTGTTGCGCGCCACTATTAATGTCTTGTACATGGCAACACTAGTTATACTAGCGCCCTCTAGTGTCGAGTAGCAGAACTAGGAGAATCGAGATCCTTCCAGAAATTTCGACCGATATATACTCGAAAATTCTAGATGTCGCTACAATAGAAGGTTCTGGAAACTATCCGAGGCCCTATATAAGGCCGGTATAGACCACGACCGGGGCAGTATTGAATTGGCGATACAAGAGAATACTTCGAAGCGAAATAACGGCGAACTGTGTTTTATTATTAGTGTGATTTTAGATTGTAATTAGTATTGTGTAATTAAAGTGTCAATTTTGGTAATTCAATCGGCAGTTTTTTAATTGTCTCGAACCCCAAACTCGTAAAAATGTTAAAATTAATGTTAATATTGCAGAGATTGTTATTCATGATTATTGTACAGGTTTATCAAAGAGCTAGCTGAAATGTTGCTGATTAATTTTGATAGTATCCACTCTGTCCAAATTGTCACAACTTGTTGAATTTACTTTTTAATGCCCGTTCACTTACCACTACTTTGTATAATTTACACACAAAACGGATAAAACTTAAATATTTGTTATTAGACTCATTATTATTTATCTTCGTAGTTTCACTGACAATGTTTGTAAAATCCTCTAAACACTCTGCGCCATTCAAATCGGGTTCCATGGAAATTGTTGCTGAAGAAGAAGTAGGGTTCGAAGAGGTGGATATAGGCTTGCCCTCTTTCTTTTTTCTGCTTGCAATTTTGTGTCACCTTATTTGACGTTTGTTCAGAGGTTGTTACAACCAGCTGCGAAATCGGTTTTCCATTGCGAGCTGTAGTCTTCACATTACCAAGTTCTGAGCTTTGATGATTTAATTCTGGTTTGTCTTCTTCTATAGTCGGGGAGTAAATAGCTGGACTCGGATGTGGGGGCCTGTCAAGTGTTGGGGAGGGAGGAACATAAAGTTTGAGTGCTTTCCCATACGTACAATTAGTGATATTAGTTACCCAATTCTCCTTTCCTTTTTGTATATTGGACATATCTTTTGTAGAGCCATATGACTCCCGGTACAGTTAACACAACGAAATGTTGTTATTTCACAGTTTTCATGGTTTTTAGTGCCTTTTGGACATACAACTTTTTTTTACGGACACTGAAGGCAAGTGTGACCAAACTTCCAACAACGAGAGCATTGTGTGACTGGAAAGATGTAAGTCTCTACTTTTATTCTCAGACCCTGAATATATACATATGCAGGTAGGTAGTATAACAGTGGTAGAGCCACGCGGCAGCTTTTGCTGTCGCACGGATGGGCCGGCTCGAACCGGGGTAGTAACACGACCTCACAGAAAACCAGCGTGAAGTAGAGATTTACCTCTACGTTTCGCTTGGTAAGTGCAGGTGGCCGGAGGCCCTTTTTACTGGAAATGAGGCATTCCATCTTAGTCCTCACGGGTGATAACGCATCTACATTTTGATTTGTAATAGAGGATAGATGTAGATGTCTATGGGCCGCAGCAACCACTTACCATCAGGTGGACTGTGTGCTCGTTTGTCACCCTTATTCTATAAAAAAAAAAGGTAGGATCATTTAAAAGCAGAACGAATAAATTCACATTTAACCGTGCTTATAGCAGACACCTCATTGTATTTTCTCTTGTTTAACCTAAGCGCTCATATAATTTCGACATTACAAGACAGGCTTTTATAATATCTTCATCAGCGACATGACGACATCCATTTCTATGTCCCTTATTACTCCATATAATATGACAACTTCCGAAGTCTTTTGGCATATCCAGCCAAGTTCATAAAATGCCTTGCATGCGATGAATTGATCAGCGCTAATTTCATTTTCAAAATTTATTAATATTTTATATTGATGAATGTATTCTACTCAACTTATTTCTTTAATATTATTTTCTGTAAACAGTCTAGCTAAAAGGCTTATTACATTACACGATTTCTCGGGCGCTGCCCGCAGGGACAGGGTAGTGTAATAAGAAATAGGGAGTCAGGGTCCCTAAACAGGGCGACCGAGTGGTTCCGACCGCCCTGCTTCCCTGCCGCGCTGTGGATCGTGTAGTGTAATAAGAGACAGGGAGGCAGGGAGCTCAGTTGCGTGGCCGCATGCGCGGAGTCTACACGTTTGTTTATTTAAAGTTCTACTATGTCGATCTACCCTCTAAATCATTACTCGTATTTATGTCATGCGCTAAAGAAAAAGATCCTTCTCAATGTCATCGACATCTACAAAGAAATGTCTTATCAAATCTTGATAGGAGTTTCCAGTGGCCAAAATCGTAAAGTGACAACAAATCTCTCTTAAAAAAGTATTCTTTTGAATAAAACTTCTTTTACGGATTCTATCGCGTTTAATTTTTTTTAATTAATTCCCGACGTTTCGGGTGCTTTACCACCCATGGTCACGGGGGACTGGTTGCTGTAAAGCATCCGAAACGTCGGGAATTAATAAAAAAAAATTAAACGCGATAGAATCCATACAAGTAGTTTTATTCAATGTGTAGTGTTCGCGTAAATATAAGAAATCATTAAAGTATTTTTTTTTCTATTAAAGGCATTACTACGCTTAATAACTCGTCGAATTAGTTTTCACCTACTCTTTAAAATAGTTTCGTAGGTCTGTTGGGTCCAAAACGCTGACTATTTGCATATTCGATAGTTTTTCTCTGAGGAGCAAATAATTTTTCATCCACATTTAACTTTCCTTCCTTTTTTTAGCTTGGCCTTGCACGTTACCGCCAGCCAAAGTTTTTTTTTTTATAGGATAGGGTGACAAACGAGCACACAGTCCACCCGATGGTAAGTGGTTGCTGTGGCGCATAGACACCTACATTTATCCTCGAATGCGAATCAAAATGCAGATGCGTTTTCACCCGTGAGGACTGAGATGGAATGCCTCTTTTCCAGTAAAAAGGGTCTCCGGTTCTCTACACTCACCATACGAAACACAGCAGTGTTAAGCTGCTATTTTACGCTGGTATTCTGTGAAAGCGTGGTCCTTCCCCGGTCGAGCCGACCCATTCGTGCTACAACTATACTACTAATATAGCATGGCTCTACCACGTAAAAAAACAATAAAGCAATTTTTGACGTATGGATAAAGTCTGCGCCATAATGCTAGACGTGCAATCATTTCCACGTTCGAGTAACAACTGAGGCAGGAAGCGATTTCTAGCGTAGTGTAATAAGCAGCGCCCTGTCTGGTAGGCAGGGCACACGATGGACAGGGCCCGATAAATCGTGTAATGTAATAAGCCTTTAAGTCTTTTCACTGTGGGATATCTATACATATAATAAATCTGTAGAAAAGTCGTGTCTGTAATTCTAACATATTCTCGAAAAAAACAAGTCCAGTGGACTAAATAAAGGGTTCTGAAGCCAAATTAGTTGTTTTTAGAATTTTTGTCTGTCTGTCTGTGTATTACGGATTCATGCAAAAACTACTGGACCGATTTACATGAAATTTTGTATATAGATAGTTAGTAACTCGGGGCAACTTATAGGCTACTTTTTATCCGATTACGGAACTTCAAAAAAGAAGGTTAAGTATTTTCCTTCCTTTAGATGTTAATTTTCTATTATATATTAATTATGGGCGGGATGACGGGTGTTTTTCATATAAATACCATATTTATAAATAAAGTTTGAAATATAGTTATAAACTTGGTAAAATAATTTGAAATTACACCGATTTAGTTATCAAAATATTTTGCCTTTAGTGACAAATAAATAATATAAATAATTTACATTTATATGTTTAAACTAGCTTTTTACCCGCGGCTTCGCTAGCGTGGTCTTCTTTTTTAGAAACATCATTAAATGTATTCCACGCCAAATTCAGTAAAGTTCAGTCACTTTTAGAGTCAAATCGGTTTCTGTGTATCTATGTCAGTTTTTCAAAGAATTTTTTGAATTCCCAAAGACTATTGGACCTAGATGATTGAGGGACACGTGCAGAA